GCCGAACTGCAGAACTGCAGTCAGCTGAAGTAGCCTGCAGTGCTGTATTTAACCACTGCGCCATCTCAGCTCTTTACTCTTCACTTTCCCAAAAAGAATAACTAGGTCTTTTCTAGGTTCCTGCATATCATTACGATGCGTGTAAACTGTCCTAATTTAAATCTCAAGAGCAGTGGTGGGTTCCGGACGGTACGGCCTGGTACAGGCGTACCAGTGGCAACTGGGAGCAGCGGCCACCATCCCGGGATGGTGTTTCAGTGGGCCCGCCCGCCTGCATTCCTTACATCTTTTTGAGGGAAATGAGCCAATTGCACATGCTCGCACAGCATATGGCGCCTGTGCGACCTCACCGAGCAGCTGGGGCATCGCAGGGTAGTCGTATGCGCATGTGTACACAGTGCCCGTGCCCAACGTGGATGTCCGGCCCGGTCACAGCGTACCAGTTGTGACAGGATACGGAACCCACAACTGCTCAAGAGATTGTAAATTGGCCATGCACAACAGTTTAAGGGCTTTTAATTATACATTCTGATACCATGTAGCTTTGTATAATATATTTTTGCCATAGTAAAAAGAATATGGGAGAATATGTCAAACAACTAAATAAAAGCAGTAGAATGCCTCATTAACTTTTCAAAAAGAAACCTAGGTCAGAGATTAACTACCCCTTCAGTCTCACAAAAGTACGGATGGAATCTTGTGTGTTTCAATTTTTCCACTATAGGAGCTTATCACCTTTTAAGGTAGCAGTTCAAAAATAGTCTATATATTTTGAAAACTCCCTTTCTTTCAGCAGTCGGGTAGCAGTAGACAATTTATGTTCGTCTGATAGCATGTCAGCAAGAACACAACCAGGTTGCTTAAACACATTTAAATGAACTGAGATTATTTAGCAGGCTGGTGACATAAACAAATACTGCAGAGACAGAGGATAATCTAACAGAAACTTACCGTAATTGCAATAATAAATAAGGTTGCTGTTAAAGAATCAGGAGGACTATTACTGTGTCATTTCATTACATGCAGAAAATGCATGGAATATTTAATGTGGCCTTTTTTGGTGTTCTTTGAGAAGTATGGAAGTACATGCTCTGAATCTCTACATATTTGAGATTTATTCCTTATAGATCTTATTGTAGAAAAAGCAATTTTATATTCAGTTCCGTATAGTATATAACTTTGTAGACTATGGAATGTTTGGCAATTAAAACCTCATGGTGTAACAAGCAATATATCACATTTCTTTAATTTTCTCTTTTCTGTTTTTCTTCCAGGATTTTACTAAAACGCTAATAAATGAAGGAAACTATTGGTTTGGTGATGCTGCAATCAATACCTTGAGAGATAAAGAAGAAAGCTACGTGAACACCAACTTGGTTCATTTTGTAGACAAAGAAGCTCAAAAGGACGAATTTTATTTAGCTACTGTGGGACCTCATGCACACTGATTATTAGGGCAAGATACCTTTCAGATTTGAAGTGTCGTGTCTTGCTCCTAACTTCTAAGATTTGCACTTTGAACTGTTAAAAAAAAATGAGTGAGTTCTGGTTGTGTTTCAACTGCTGTATTGCAGAACAGCCTCAGCCTGTAAGTATGGATTTTAGATTATTTTTCCATGGTTGAACAATGTTCCTTACAATTTATTTAATTTTATTTCTTTTCTTTGTAGTTAATCATATTAATGATCAAAATATTCCTATTGAGTTATAAGAGCAATTAGTTTGAAGCCAATTTGTGGTATATGCCTTTGATTGACCATTTCTAAATTCTGCTAAATCTTATGAAGGGAACAGCAATTGACACTTCACCTCATAAGATCATTTTCTATCTATGGTTTTTTTTTAAAAAATTGGAAAAAGTAGTAAATGTGGTTAGAGGTGTTCTCTTAGAATCACAATTGAGGCTCGAATATTGGTCATTGAATGAAGCAGCCATTAAGCAAGATGCTATGTGACCACCTCATTCAATAACCACAATCCTGGCTCACCCAATCACAGTCATTAAACAATTTCCTGAGCGGAACACCCGGGAGAGAGCTCAGGCCTCTTGGGCATGGTGAGACAGAGTACATGGGGCTTCCACTATACTTGGAGGGCCCAAGCCCTCTCCTTACCCCACTGGGGAGAACAATTATGAGAATGATGGTGTTTGAAGGGAAATCTCTCAGCACATTTGAAGAACAGATCTCAAATCTAGTGAAACACTGGTGAATGCTGTCTTTCACTAGATTAGAGGACTGGAGGCCAAAAATATGAATGGTTGCAAGAGATTGGTATGCCTAGTTTAATGAAAAGAAGGACTAGCAGTGTTCCAGTATCTAAGGGTCTGTCACAAAGAAGAGAGGTTGACCTATTCTCCAAAGCACCTAAAGGCAGAACAAAAAGCACTGATGGAAAACGATCAAGGAGAGAACCAGCTTAGAACTAAGAAGAAATTTCCTAACAGTTAGAACAATTAGTCAGTGGCAGGACTTGCCTCCAGAAGTTGTAGGTGACCCAACACTAGAAATTTTAAAGAAGAGATTGGACAACCATTTGTCTGAAATGGTGTAGGGTTTCCTGCTGGAGCAGGGGGGGTGGATTAGAAGATCTCCAAGGTCCCCTCCAATTCTGTATTCTGTTATTCATTCTGGAAGGTTCAGATTAAATAATCAAGCGATTATTGTCTCCTGATAATAATCCTTGAAATAATCTTTTTAATGTGATTGAAAGGATTGAACTTTATCAAGAGCAAAAATGAGAAGCACTTAAGTTGAATAAACAGGCAAAAAAGTCTGAAGTAATCAGACTAAGTTTTGAGTTACACATAAACTGTAAAGCTACTTTTAAGGTCAGAGTATTATAAGGAACCCTCCCCCAAAGCATTTTGAAATTAAGCTTTTCTCATTTCATGAGTGAAAATGTCAAAATAATGCCTGTCACCCAGTTACAAACACATTTTTGTAAGGATAGTAAAACAGATGCTCCCATATTCTATGAAAACTCAAGCTTTGAAAGTTTGAAAGATATTCAACTTTCAAGCTGAATAGAGAGAGGAACTAAATCCTGTGACTGCTTGAACTTGTAATCAAAGTTGAAATATATACTTAATTATAAACTTCAATATATATAAGATTAAATCCACCATTCCCAAGAAGGAAGTAATAATTTTTATTTTGAAAATTTCAGTAAATATTTGTATTAGTAAAAGTAGGTGATGGTGATGATGTTATCTGTTCATTCAAGCCTGATAGTTGGCAATTCCATGGGTAGTAAAAGTTAGCGATATTTTTGTTGTTGTTGAAATATGATAGAATGAAAACAAAAATATCTGAAGCAGTAAACATTCATCTATTTCCATAAAAAGGCACTTGCATGGTGTCAGATAGAAGCAGGAAATAGTTAATGGCAACCTCTGCAAAAGCATTTCCCAACCTACATAACCTCTGATCTAAAGAAAACCTGAGCTGGGTCAGAGTATTTGGCCTATGTCAGATGAAAACAGATTATTGGAGGATATATTAAATAGGTTCACTGAAAGTTTGAATAGTATATTTCTACTGCTGAAGGTGGGATGGATCTGGTGAAGATGAAATGAAATCTGGTAAGATAATTGATCTAGAAGATAAATAATCGCACAGTAAATATCTATGAAAAATAACTTTGCATTAATTTAATAATTTCTCAAATATTTGTGGAAATTAAAGTTTAGATGCACTGCTGTGATTGGCAAAGAAAATAAGTTTAGGGATGCCAACGTAATTCTAAAAATGTGAATACTTTTTATTAATTACCGGACCCGCTACTCCTCCACTCTTTAAACTGAAAATATGACCAGATGCTCACTTTAATAAGCAAACTTTGGGAGGATTTCATATTTTGGATGCCTGACTAGGGAGTAAATGCCCTCTTAAAAGTCAAGTGAAAGTTTTGAAATGTTAGGGCTGATCTATATACAAAAAAAAAATGTGCAATCTTCTTAGAACTGTGTTGCTTCATATTGCAGTTGAGAATTAGATAGAGACAGGCACAACATAAACTTTTGCAACATTAAATAATCCACTGGAAATGTCCACATTCACTTTTTTATTTTGAAAGTACAAAACAAGTGTTAAGTTGAGTGTCCTCGTTTGTGTTAAATCTTCAAAGTTCCATTTTTGTAGTTCAGATGTTCAATTATTTAAAGGATTTGTAAAGAATTCTTAACAAATGGTCAATTTGTAAAATTACAAATTTACAAATGTGTAAATTTATAATTTAAAGCATTTGGTCATGAAGACATGTTTTTGCACAAGTTCTTCAAGCAAAATATTAGCAATGTCTTTAAAATAATAAAAATGCCAAATGCAGTCTAAACATCTAGTTAACTCTGAGACAAACCATAATACTAAACTGTAATAATGAACACCAACAAGAAATTAGCAAAAAGTTTAATTTTACACCATTAGGCTAGCAAAAGCCAAAAGGTTTTCCAAAATTCTATGTAATTCATGCAGACTTATCAAGATCTATCAAAAACAAGTTAGAATGTAAAGGTTGAGCAATGAGGCAAAAGTTTGTAACCCAAAATGTAATAATAGAGAATGATAATAAATAACTAGAAGTAATTTTGGGATAGCAAGAAACTCATAAAACTACATTTTAAACTGTCTCTTTCCATGCCTCAGACACATATGAGATTTTAAGATTTAAAAAATTAAATTTTGGAAGTGTTCATTAAAAATACTTTTGGTTTATAATATTTAGCACTTGTATAACATTTAATGCATACAATACATATTAGATTAGAGAGAATGAACTAAGACTGTTTTTTTCTTCCTAACTTTAAATATAGCATTTTGGAAAAACATAACTTAATTAAATGATGATATATGTATATATTTAATAAGGCTAGTAAAGACACATATTTGTACAATGTTTTATTGTTTAGTATTCTAAGTAATCTTTAGATAAATATACATTACATTAGATGCTAGTTTTTTTTATTAAAAAAAATGACCCTGTGATTATTCTTGTATCCTGATAAACCACTAATTTATGTAGAATCCTCAAATGAAATATTTTTCCAATTCACATAATTAGAAAGGACAATTCTATAATCCTAGTGTTTTCCCCTAAAGTTTACAAGTTTTTAACATAATATTCCCAGGAGTAAAAGAAATTGATTGTTGCAGATTTTTTAAAAAAATGACACAACATTGAATAATATTTTTTCTCTATGGCCTCAGTGAGAGCATTGGAGAAAAGCTTCCATTGGTAATGCTATTTTTTTTTAGCATCAATTCAAGCAATGCATGCAAACTTGCAAACATATTTTTTTTAATTTCCAAACCTCTTAGATTTTTTTTTCGTTTGTTTTATTCTCATTATATTTAAACATTTGAGCCTGGCTCATTTCACAAAGTCCCTTGTAAATATGCACGCTAAAATTACACTGTAAAAGAAGGATGTGGGTTGTTTATTTAAACAATTTTCTTCAGATCAGAGAAAGTTATAATCAGGGAATTAGAACTTTGTGTATGCAGTCACATCTCTTTTTAACTGATTCATCTTATGAATGTTACAATTTACAACCATAATAAGCATGCTCTATTTGGTTATAACTCAACGACTATCTATACTGCACAGCTGTAACTTCGAGGACTGTTGTTGTAAGTACACTTATTAAGCACTTTCATAACTTTGAACAATTCATCAAAGAGTAATTGTTAACTGAGGGCTAGCTGTAACAAGAGCAATTGTTAACTGAGGAAAGGAAATAGAACTGACCATGTAATTATTATTTCTTGATTTTAGGAAAAATTAAAACTCATTTCCCCCCTAAAATCAAGAAATGTTAATTAAATAGTCAATTTCTTTCAATATTTTAGCCACTTCTATTTCCTATTGAGTAGATAAATAAGAACCACTTTGGTGGGAAAGTAACAGCATTCTTTGTACCTTGGCGTGTAGTCAGGCTATCTAGAGAATCAGGGAAAGGGTCTTCAGACAACACTGGCTCTCTCCACTAAGAAATAAAGATGAGCACTTCCCCTAGAGTCAGATACAACTGGACAAGGAAAAACTCTCATTGTACACTTATATTGGAGCTTGAAAAACATAGATAGAATAAACTGAAAACAACTATAGTCCATGCAAGGAGATGGTAATAAGAGAAGAAGCTCAAGATAGGTGAGTTCTTGAAAAAAGAAATAATAGCATAGTTGCAAATAATTACAATAAGAAAAAAAAGAAAAGACAGCAGGAGAAACCAATGTGTTTACTCCATGTTTAGTGAAGATCTGAAAATAAAGGAAGTAAGAGAGAGAGAAAATCACTATGGAAGAATACAAAAGGACAGTCTGGAGTTGTTGAGATTATAATAAAGATTAAACCTCACAATGAGTTTGATGAAGAATGCAAGGACAATAAAGACAAGATTTTAAGGTACAGTATTTTTCAAATACGTAAAAATTGAAAGGAAAATAGTATGGTTATCTGCTAAGTGAAGATTCCAAATTCTAAAAGGGAACAAAGACAGAATTACTCTTGAGTCTATACCTTTCATCATGCAATTGTGAGAAACATAAAAAAGAGGCCAAATTGAAACTTGAGACTGATAGATACATG